CGAGCCTCTCCGCGGCGTGGAAGGAGGAAGACTGGAACACCGCCGCCTGCGGGGCTAGCGACCCGCGACCCTTTGTTGTCTTCATCCGCGGAGGCCCCGCCTCCAGGACTGTGGTAGACCAATGAGAGAGCCGAAACAGGATGAGCCACACCCGTGGGCCAATGAGAAGAGTGCGAGGCTAGTATAGCATACCTACCCCGCCTCCTCCGCCTAGGCCAACGAGAGTGCCAGGAAGTGGCAGGTCCCTTCCGGGAGCCAATCAGAAAGTGGGGGAGGAGCTTGTCCTTGGGCTGGAAGTTGACGGGCCGGGGCACACTCTGCTGTCTGTCGGTTTCTGCCTGGTTGCTTACGGCCTGTTGGTGACAGGGGCGACGCTAGGTGTGTGAGGCACGAAGAGTGCGCTGGCCGAGCGCAGGAGGCCGGACCGCAGCGACGGCAGCGCCTCGCGCAGAGGCCGCGGCCGGGCCAGCTCAAGGAAGTCAGTGTCGTAAGCCGAGCTCCGCGGCAGCTCCTCCAGGGCGGGGTAGGCGCCGCCCTCCGCCACCGCCATGACCGTCCTGCACAGCCTCACGTAGGCTGGTGCGGCCGCAGTGCACATGCGCACAAGCGTGCCTTGCTTTGTGAGCTTGGACGCGTCTGCAGGGAAGACTGGAGTCGGCTGACCTTGAAGTTTGGCGTGGTAGTACACCATCTGTCACTTACAATTAAGAAAGTACCAGAATCCTGCCCGGCGTGGTGGCTCACATCTTTAATCCCAACAGTCGGAAGGCAGAGGCAGAGGGAGTTCCAGAACAGCCAGAGTTACACAGAGAAACCTTTCTCTAGAAACCAAAAAAGCCTTTTCTTAGTTAAAATTTAACTAACCTTACTAACCTTGCTTTTTGGCTCCTGTAATTCTGTTGCTGGCTAACTGTTCGTGTTAACTGAATATGTAACCCAGAATATGTTTTTTTATACTTAAACTCTCACCCTGAGAAAGGCTTGGGGCTACAGTGGGATCCTGAATGCCCAGTGTAGTCACCTAATAAGACTTTCAATTGGTTTAAACCTATGTCTAAGCATCATCTGTGGTGGATAGATAACCCACAACACTAGGACAGGCAGGACTACATTAATCCTATCACAAACAAAAACAAAGAGGTTGCATTAGGAGGATAGTGAATTTCAATTCACCTTGGTTTACGAAGTGAGAGCCTGTCTCACAGGTAGATTTTATTTTAGTTCATTGTTTTTAATTTTTTTGTTTTTGTTTTGGTTTTTTTTGTTTGTTTGTTTAGACAGGGTTTCTCTGTGGCTTTGGAGGCTGTCCTGGAATTAGCTCTTGTAGACCAGGCTGGTCTCGAACTCACAGAGATCCACCTGCCTCTGCCTCCCGAGTGCTGGGATTAAAGACGTGTGCCACCAACGCCAGGCTGTTTTTAATTTTTAAGATTTAATTTGTCTTATGTGTATGATGTTTTGCTTACATGTATGTATCTAGGCCAGGCCACATATGTCCCTGGTACCTGGGGATGTCATAAGAGTTTTGAGAGTTTTCATATAAGTGCTGAAAACCAAACCCCAGGTCCTCTGTAAAAGCAACAAATGGTCTTAACCACTTACTCTCTAGCCCTCATTTGTGTGTGTGTGTGTATTTCTGGCTGGACTAGAATTCTGGGTTCTGGTGCCTCTGCCTCTAGAGTTATGTGCTGGGATTAAAGGGGTGTGCCACCACTGATGTGCCAAAGCTGGATTTTAAAAGGAGATAAAGCAGAAAGAATATCATTTTTGATTTATCAACTGACTGTGCATTCTAGTCAAGCACTCCACCATTGATCTTCACCTCCCGTTCTCTTTTTATTTATTTTGAGATAGGATCTCACCAGATTGTCCACACTGGCCTTGAACTCACTGTATATCCCAAGCTGGCTTTGTGGAGCGATTCTCCTAAGCCTTTCAATATTGGGGATAGAGGTCTATATTGAAATAGCTCACCCAGTTTACTTAAGACATATTGTTATTCTTTTGTTTAAAAAGAAGAAAAGAGAAATATTGTTGAGACAGACATTTTGACTATAAGTTTATTATAAGGCCCGGCAGAATGGGTAGACTAAGAAGAGGAACAGGGTAATGGCTGACCGCCATGGCCGGTCGCCATAGAGAGACAGCGGGGAAACAGAGAGAGGGGACAGAGAGCAGGAACAGGGGGAGAGAGAGAGAGAGAGGGCAGGGGTCTATCTTTTAAAGGGGTCCTCTGCACCTGCGTGCAGACTTCTTTCCCATGGAACCTTGGGCTGACCAGGGTATTGTCTGAGTGGATTCCACCAGGTAACGGGCAGGCCAGCATAATGCCTGAACCTTTCACATATAATGTGCTTTATATATTGGCAAAACTTCCAGGGTTTTGCATGCTGATTGTATTCTTATAAGGCCATAAAATTATAAAACACACAACAAACAGATTTAAAGAGAACAGGAAAGCAATAGAAATCTCAGCTTCAGCTGACATTCGCGCACCCACAGATCACTTTGTGTGTTAGAGGCAACTACAAAATGGTGACATGTGCCCCAGATTGTAGTGTCACTGTAGTTATAGTGTGTTAGGTCTCATAAACCATCATAAACCTCTGCAGCCACTGAGCTTTGCTGCTCCCCTTCCCCTAGCTTCTCTTTTCCTATAAATCCCTGCCGTTTTGGCTACTCGCTGTCTTGGTCTCTTGGTTCTCTCTGCACTGTTGTTGGTCTTCTTTTCTCTCTCTCTTCTCTTCCTCTCTTGCTCTGCCCCTCTCTCTTTCCTGTCATGGCTCAGTCTATTCTGCTGGCCATGTTCAGTCTGGCCTCTTCCAGAAGCCCCTGGCTGTGTTTTCCCTTATATCTATAATGAAAACCTCTTCAAATTTCATTTATTTTACATTGTTCGTAAAATTGTAAAATTCAGGTTGTCAATGTTTCCCACGCTGTCCTAGTGTAACCTCTTTATCATTTCCTTAAAACTCCAGAACCAACCAGGGGTGGTGGTGTACGCTTTTAGTCACAGCACTCGAGAGGCAGATCTCTTGGAGTTCGAGGCCAGCCTGGTCTACAGAGGGAGTTTCAGGACAGCCAGAGCTACACAGAGAAACCCTGTCTCCATAAGTCAATAAACAAACAAACATAGATAAATTGAAGGGAGCAGGTAAAAGCACCTCAAATAGATAGATGGTAGGCAGGCAGACAGAAGACAGACCGACAAAGGGAATAGGCAAAAGCACCTTGGCCAGATTTGACTTCAGACTCCATTTTACCTGTAGGGTGAGACAAAGTTCAAGCTGAGAACCTTCCAATATATGACTTACCTCCGTAAACTACAGAACTAGTCATTATGCGTCTCTAGCTCTCTAGAAACATGGCTATTACTAACAACAGAAGGAACAAATAAATTTGATTGCTTGGACTAAAAGCTTGCATTGTATTTGTTGACAGTGATGAATACTCAAGGAAGCCCCTAATCTCTAAATCCTTATTGGTGAAAATTGTAACTGTAACTTGGCAACCAATGTTTGTGATTTTTGTGCTTAAACACTTGCTTCAACTGGCATTTGGGGTGGCCGTTCAGCCCCAGAGTCTTTTCTGTGGCCCGAATGATCCATCAGCCCCCTCTCCTTTCCCCCTTCTTCTTCTTCTTTTTTTTTTTTTTTTTCTTATTTTTTGAGACAGAGCTTCTCTGCCTAGCATCCCCCCTCCTTTCCCCCTTCTTCTTTTTCTTTTTTTTTTTTTTTTTCTTATTTTTTGAGACAGAGCTTCTCTGCCTAGCATTGGAGGCTGTCCTGGAACTCGCTCTGTAACCCAAGCTGGCCTCGAACTCAGATCTGCCGGCTGGGAATGAAAGCGTGCGCCACCACCGCCCGGCTCCTTTTGTGCTGCCCGTGTTAAATCTTGCCTTGAGGTAACCTCTTGTGTCTACCTGGGTTGATTCACACCCTCGGACCACAACAAAATGAATAAATAACTAAACAAATAGATGGCGACCCATCGCTAAGGCTCCTAAGCCGCTGACGCCGCGCTCGGCGGGCCCCAGCTTAGACTCCGGCCCCATCGACCGAGCCCGCCCTCCAGCGCCAGGCCCCGCCCCGCGAGTGCGGAAACGGACGCACAACTCCGGAAGGCGTCGTCACTCAGGCTCCGCCCCTCGGGAGTCCCCACCTGGCTTTAGCCCGGAAGTCCTGGGGACTGAAGTCCGGAAGTTCGGGAGGCTGTCCCCTAGTTCCCTCCCGCTAATTCGGTGCGAGTCGGTTGGTGCCCGCGCAAGTGTGTCCCAAAGCTTTTCTAGTTCCGTCTCGCTGTGCTTCCCGTTCTCATGTTCGTGCCCTGTGCGGGTCACTGTTCGCGGACCTGGATCGGGCGTGTGCACTGTGCGGAGCGAGCATAACGGGCCGCTCGTGGAGCTTGTTGGTAACTGAGGTCAGAGGGAGGCAAGTTGTGTGCCTAACGGGGATTCCAGAGCATGCAGGGCACGATGCTTGATTGCACCTGGGAATCCGAGGAGCCACTCAACACTGGGGCTTTGGGCGTTGTCTCCAGGGGTCTTGCCACAGTGTCCCATTAATTCGGATGCATTTGGGCCATAGTTAGTATGACGGCAGAAACTCAGACACAGGGCACTTTCAGTTCCCTTTCTTGATGGGAAGAGGAGTTTCTGGACGATTCGGCTAAGGTGCCGGAAGCCTGAGAGTTGCTGGAGGCTAACAGAGCAACTTCAAGACGAGGATTCGGTTAAGGAAAGGGTTCCCAGATATGACTGTGGCTTGGAAGTAAGACCAGGCCTCACTTTCTGGGCTGTGTTGTCCCTGTGCCCATGTATAATTGTGAGTTGAGACAGTCTCGTGGATAAAGGCCGCTGTGGACCTTCCCCTGGCCTCCTGTTTAGACTGATGAGGTGCTGCCTGTGTGCAGTGGTTGCAGGCTTCAGCTGTGTGTCTTTCTCAGCCGGGTCTGCTGTGAGGTGAAGCCCAGGTTCCAGAGATGTACATGCAAGTGGAGACACGAACCAGCACCCGCCTCCATCTGACGAGGGCTCCAGGCATCCGGTCTTGGTCCCTGCTGGTCGGTAAGACTTATGTTTTTCCCAAGTCAAATCTTAAGTGATGGGAACAGTTTCTTCGTATTCTATTGGAGGTTCTTGTCAATACAAGACCTTGGTAAAGCATGCTTCATTCACTTTGGTGTGCCTTCCCTTTCAGAGGGCATGCAGGGTCCCCTTAACAGACATGCACTCCCAGCCTGTCTGCTTTCTTGAGGTCACTAGGTTTTCTTCCATGTGACAGGTGATCATGGGTTCACATTTCTCTTCCTCCCTGTCTCCGTCCTCCTGGACTCTGTCCCCCATCACTGCCTACCAGAAGTGTCTTGCATCTCATGAACAGCTGCACTTGTGTTGGCTGGGCTGTTCAGAGTCTGAGGTGAGGTACTGGCTGTGACTTCAGCAGCAGGTTCTCTATAGTCCTTTATGATTCGTGAAGGTCCTCATGACATTCTGCATACTGTGCTCTGTGTTGTATTATCTCTGTGTAGTCTTGTCTTTGCTCCTCATCACAGGTAGGCAATACTGACATCTGGGTCATTGCATTTTTCATTTGATTGCAGACGAGTCTGGTGAATGCCATGGATAGCATAACCTGTTTTTTTTTTATTTAATTTTTTAATTATGTAAGTGTATCTATGTATGGGTCTGTGCAGGTGCATATAGGTGCTGTGGAGTCCAAAATAGTGTTACATCTCTGGCGCTGAAGTCACACGAGGTTGTGAGTGGCCTGCGGGTGCCAAATGTTGGACTTTCTTTGGGCTGTCAGTCCACAAATAACGAAATGGAAATTTATTATGAAAGTTTGGCTTTTAGCTTAGGCTTGTCCCCAACTACCGCCTATAACTTAAACTAACCCGCATCTATTAATCTGTGTTCTGCCATGTGGCTTTTTTTCTATAAATAATTATTTAAGTTTATTTTATGTGCATTGATATAAAGGTGTCAGATTCCCCTGGAACTGGAGTTACAGACAGCTATGAATTGCCATGTGGGTGCTGGGAATTGAACCTGGGTCCTTTGGAAGAGCAGCCAGTGCTCCAACTGCTTGCTTCTCCAGCCCCCATGGCATGTGTTTTTTTCTACATCTCTTCCATTGTGTTTGTCTGACTTGGTCCAAATCTTGTTGAGGTCTCTGAGTGCCTAAATTCATCCCAAGTTCCTTTCGCTGCTCAGAAGTACTGCCTATTCTCTCCTGCATAGCTGTTGGCCATTCAGCTCTTTATTAAACTAGTCACAGTGACACATGTTCACACTATGTGATAAAATGGCCCACAACAGTGCTGAGAACTGAACTGGGTTCCTCTGCAGTAGTATATATTCTTAAACAATAAGCTATCTTTCCAGTCCCCCCCTCCCTATTTTTAAACAAACTTCTTGGCTGTGTCCCCAACCCTGCACTAGGTAGCTTCTACCTGCTGCCCCTGAACAAGCTATCCTGCTGTGAGACAGGCCTGCTTTGGGGGGCTGCAGCACAAGAAGAAGGGGAACTCTCCTTGACAGTTAACAAGATAATCCCTCTCTCCACAGGAATATTATCCACTGGCCTGGCTGCTGCCTATTATAGTGGAGGTAAAGTATGTTTTTCCCATCAGCTTCCTTGTACTTGGAAATAAACAAAAAGCAGAGAGCATTCCTAGTGTGTGTAACCTTTGGGGTGGCCTTTGCCTTGCCTTGTGTGAGAGATGACTATAGTCCATGTCCTGTACCTTAAATTTCTTCCTGTTATAAAGTACTCTCGGAAAGAAGCTCTTTAGTATTTATTTGCCTGCCACTTTGCTACAGGGAAAAATCGTGTGTCTTACCCTCCATGACAAGGTATATAGATCTACCTGTCTCCTAGGTGGACTTAGGCAGAGTTTGGGATACACATGTCACCAACGACCCAGGAAGGTACAGGAACGCAGTTGACTAAGCCTGTAACCTGAGATGAAGGAAGGAAAGGCTGGGCTGGAAGGACCCTCCTGTGGACATATCACTTTGGCTCCTTTAGCTAATGGGCTGATATACTATCTCTGCTTGCAGATAGTCTGGGCTGGAAGCTCTTCTATGTCACAGGCTGCCTGTTTGTGGCTGTACAGAACTTGGAGGATTGGGAGGTAAGATGGTATAGTAGCACCCTTCCCATGGGAAAGCATCTGTCCAGGTCCACAGGCACTGGGTTACCTGGACTCAGCCTTTGACTTAGCTTGTAACATTTCTGGACTCTTCTAGAAGCTGCTCATAACTTTTTTCACCAAGGTTCTGTGTTGTTCTTCTGCAGGCTTGCCTCAAACTCAAAAGTAAGCCTACTACCTCAGTCTTCAGATAGGCGTGAAGCACCACACTCAACTCCAGAAGTTCTTTTTTTCTAGGGTTGTGGCAATAAGTCTGCATTGTCCCTGGGCTGGACTAGCTACACAGGCAGGGACCTGTGAGACCATTCTGCTAACTCAGTTGGACCAGCTCCCAGGCCCTGAAGTTCAAGGGTTGGGGGCTTCCTCTGACCAGCCAGGACTTCACTGCAGGCCTAAAATAGTTGAAAGGAATCAGCAGAAACTGAGCCTGGGAAAAGTCAGGTGGTAGCCTTTGGGGGCGTCCCCTATCCTTAGCTTTAGCCCTCTTAGGATTATGGAAGCTTCCTGGCCTGGGCTTCTGCTTTTTGCTTAATGGCCTCATTGCCAACCTGTCTTGTTGCTCTTTTATTTGCCCAGTACTGAGGGATGAACTTAGGGCCTCATACCTGCTGGGCAAGTGTTCTATCACTGAGCTAGATACCCAGCCTGGTCTCGTTCTCATGCAAAGAGAAAAGGGCACCTATTCCGTCTGCTTTCTCTCACATGCCCCTTAGGCACAGAAGGTGGCTCTGGAAGAGCCCTGAGGGCTTTGGGGGGTGGGTTTCCACTGGGCATCTTGAGTATTTGTGCCAGTGTGGGTGTGGTGATCCCTCAATACTAGCTTGCTCTCTTCCTGGAGTTGTGTGTGTGGTTAGCATACATTGGTTTGCAGGAAGCTATTTTCAACAAGAGCACTGGGAAGGTCATCTTAAAAACATTCAGCCTCTACAAGAAGCTGCTGACTCTCCTAAGAGCAGGCCATGACCAAGGTAAGATGTGGGGAGTTGCAGTTTGGTGAGGGCTTGGGGAGGTTTGGATGGTTTGCTTGCTCAGGGAATGAGGGTCCCCCAGACAGATCCCAGCTTGCAGGGTGGGATCCAGGCAGATACCCCATCCTGCATACTTAAGGACTAAGCCTATCAGTAAGGATGGAAACGCCTTATCAGCTCCCTGCGGTTGGGTAACAGTAGTTGGAGTGGGTCACTGTGCCAAGCATACTAGCAGGAGTCATCTGTTCTTCAGGGCCCACTAGGCCTCTCTTAGGCCCAGGTCCTGTAGCTGTTTCCTATCAGCTCTGCTAGCCTAGCAGTGAGAAGATGGTCAGAGGAAGCCCCCAACCCCTGAACTTATGGGCTTGTGAGCTAGTCTGTGAAGTAACAGGCTCTCATAGGTCTCTTCCCTGTGTATTCAGCCCAGCCATTGTGCATTACAAACATGCAAGTAACTGTGTGTGCATCCCACAGGATCCTAAGTAGGCTTTAACATAAGGATTCAGGCCTCTAACTTGTATGGAGTGCTAACAGTATACAGCCAAAAGTAACATTCGAATGTGGCCCATTCATTGGCCGTGTACAGCCAATGAAGACCAGAGCAGGGTTGTGGGATGCGAGCTAGTGCGCTGGCTCAACTTTCCCAGGCTGCTTGTTGAGAGCCCCAGCACAGACAGCAGGCCACGGGGTCAATCTGATGTCACTGTGGCAGTGGGGTGAAATAGGCTTTCCAGTGGCTCCTGGGAAAGCAGTATCAGCCATGCATTAGTTAGGCAATGGTTTTCCTATACAAGGAAATGACAGGGGTGCCCCACTGGAACCAGATAGGTTTTCCAGCCTTCGGTAAAATCAGGCAAAAAGAGTAGCATGAAGATGGCAGCTTGGGCTTAGTGATCCCAATAGGATTGCTCAGGGCAGCCAGCTTTTGCCTAAAACTGCAGGAGCGATGAGTCTCCTGAATGTATCCTTATCCAGATGTTATTCTGAATCCACAGTCTAGAATGTGGAATAGTAAACGCTTTTGTCACTAATGCCACTCCTACTGTTAAGCAGAGTTCTACAGCATAGGGTAAGAGCATAGGGATGGCCGCTCATCTGCAAACCCTTCTGTCCCCAGTGGTGGTCCTGCTGAAAGACATCCAGGATGTGAATGTGGAGGAGGAAAAGGTCCGTTACTTTGGGAAGGGCTACACTGTGGTGCTCCGGTTTGCAACAGGCTTCTCCCATCCCCTTACTCAGAGTGCAGTCATGGGCCGACGCAGGTAAGGGTGGTGTAGAGCAAGACTGGGCTATCCCTTAGTGTTTCTCAGGGCAGCAGGGGAGGAGTTGAATTTTGTAGACAGGAACATGGGGCTGGAGGAGGGATGTATGTACTTAGGGGCAGCTTTGCCATGGATATCTGTGGGGAGGGGGGCAGCACAACAAAGTTGATGTCTGTTAAGAGTATGACTGAGGCCAGAGGTACTGGGCCTGTTTGGGACACCAGTGGTTGTTGTAGGTGGTGGGGGATGAGACAGTGTAGGTCTTCTGTGGTGTGTTATGGAACCTGTACCCTTTGCCATGGTGACCTGCTTTCTTGATGCTCGCCTAGTGATGTGGAAGCCATTGCCAAACTCATCACTAGCTTCTTGGAACTGCATCGCCTGGAGAGCCCCTCAGAACGGTCACAAAGCAGCGACAGTGAAGCCGATGGCCCTGGTGATCAGAGCTGACAGTGTAGAGTGGCTGCTGGTAAATGTCACCCCCTTCTGACATGTCTCCAACTGACTTGCCAACTGTGAGCATGCAGGCAGATCTTGGACACCTGCCTATGACTCCTTGGGCAATTCTTGTGTGGACCACCTGCCTTTTGCTTGTTTATGCTTCTACGCTTTGCAGAACCATGGGCTGATGTGCTCCACAACCCAGAAAGGCTGCATCTGTCATGATGCAGGTGGGGGGAGCTACATCCAGAGGAGGGCAGGGTCTCAGAACTCAGTGCCTTCTCCAGAGTCAGATGGCAGTTCTGGCTTAGGCAGCACAGTCTGGTTTGGATGAGCTCACCCAAGGGCATCTGAGGTTTAAGACGCCAGTCTTTTCTTCAGCATAGGCCCAGTGCCTGCCTTCAAGAGGCCTTGCCACCCAGGCTATTGTAGTGAGAGTGAAACACCTACATGCCTGTAAGGAGAACCCTCTCTCTGTGCATAGTGGTGTCGACTTATTGCTATAAATCCTGATATCTCTTCTCCCCACCCCTCCTCAAAATGGACATCCTTGGTGGTCAGGGGCTTCCCTGAAGGCAGCTCAGAATGCTGGATGCCTGGATGCTGCCTGGCTGCAGAACTCTCAGAGAAAAGTGCTGCCGACTGCCCTGTTCCTGCCTAGACCACTTGTCTAAGGTCCCAGCAGTGTTGTAGCACAGCTGTTAGGAAGCTCTCCCAACCCAGCCTGGGGAGAAGCTGCTAGTGGAGGAAAGGCCACCTCTTCTGGCATCCTGCAGCCTTTAAAACCTGGGAGCTCCTTTACAGAAATTGAGTCTTAGCCTCTCAAGCCTTGAAAAGAAGGTAGACATGTGAGGCACACCCCTGTAAATCCCAGTTTTAAGTGAGGAATGAAGAAAGTTCAAGGCCAGTGCAGGCCACTGCCTCTTCTAACAGAAGTTGGTACCTGCCACTGATGGCTATTTCCTGCTCTTCTAGTTCTCTTCTGGGCAGACTCAAGTCCCTCAAAAGTAGTGCTCATGAAGTTTCCAGCTTGGCTTCCAGGCCTGAAAGCTGTGGACCTCTGGTTTGCACATAACCCCCCAAAGCTGAGTACCTATGCCTGGCCAGGTAGAACTGGGAAATTGAGGAGTTATATAGACAAAGAAGTCAAGGCAGCCTTGAGGCCACTTTGCCTGGGCTGAGCAGGAGTAGTTAGCCAGAACCTAAACAGGTCTTCTCTGAAGTGACTGCTACCAGTTCTGACTTGGGGAACATGATCCCTTGAACTTGCTAAAGTGAGCTTTTTAAATGGCCAAGTTAGACATTTTTTTTTTCCATAAATGAAAAGTGGAATACAGCTGTTGGCTTTTAGCTTGTTGCCTACAGACTTAAGGTACTTTAGACAAGGGAGAGGAGTCTCTCTCTTGGGTGCTGTCAAATACCTTTCCTGTATATCCCAGTGCTGGGACTCATTATTGGTGAAGAAATGAAGCCCTTTTCATAAGCAAGGGGTATGGTAAAAAGCTGATTCAAGTTCCTGTTAGGATTTCTGCTTCTACTGGTCTTTTTATTTCATAATTAATAAAGCTCTACATGCAGATTGCAAATGAGTCTCCATGTGCCTTTTTCTGTTTTCTGCTTTGCCCAAGGTAACTCTATGCAGTTTGGGAGCAGTCTGGCCGCATGGCTGGGCCCTGAGGCAGGAATCTGGGTGCTACCCAGGCAGATATCCAGGGCTCCAGCCCCCCCCTCAGGGGTTCTGACCTGTGTCCCAGCCTGGGCTGGCGGGTGGTGGCCGTGGGGCGGCTGCCTCGCCCAGGTCCTGCAGTAGACCCTGCAGTCGCTGCATACTCGGGAGCACATTCTCCTCCAGCCACTCCTCTACGGTGTCCGGGTAGAAAGTCAGCTGAAGTGCTGCCTCCAACTGCTGCACGAGGTTGCTCCACCTGTTCAGAAGGCTGAGGGCAACAACAGCCACCAGTTTGACTTGATGAGAATTCCTGCTAAGGCCCGAGTTTACATAGCTAAACTCATGTCCTCAGCCCCTAGAGCCAGTACTGTTACATGCCTCAGTTTACCATCGGGATGAAAATAAATGAATGTCTGGTCACATTTTAACAATCAAGACCACTGCCTGGAAGTTTTCCTCACAGCCATGAACGGTCATGCTGTTGGCAGCAATGTACTCAGTGCAAGTATATTCTTACTAGCCTAGCTTAGAATCCTGAACCAGGAGAGGACAGTGCAGGCTGCCTGGGGCTCCATCCACAAGGGTGCTCAGCACTCGGCTAGGCCTCACTGGGGAGTTAAAGAGCCAGCACGGACCTGAGGTGGACTGATTCCAAAGATGAGCCGTGGGTCAGCGTGGACATGTGGCTGATTATCTGTTGCAGGCCAGGAATCATTTAGCTTCTTGCTAACATTAGGGTCAGTGTTACTGAGCAGTGGCCTATCAATTCATCCAAGATCTACAGCTGCAGTACCTGGAGAACTTGTCTTGCCACGCACAGCACTGATAATCATAACCATTGCTACAGTGTGTGTTCATAAAGGGGACAGCGTGTTTGTTCCAGAGGCTGAACACCTGAGAGGATGTGATGATGGTGGCTACCTGAGTGCCTCGGGCTGTATGTGCTGGATCATAACTGGGTGAATATACTTCCTCCTGCGATGGTAGGGGCTGAACCAGCCAGTGACAAACCTGGAGCAAATCCAGACAGTGTTAGTGGGCCAGTAGTAGCTGTGGGGGAAACTTAAGAGTCTGGTAGAAATTTTTAGAAGTCTTTCTAGAAAACCTTTGTAAAGAACAATGCCAGGAAAGAGATGGGGTTGCTTACCTGTTCCTTTCCAGAAGTATATCCACAGAGCTGTGCAGGTGGAGACTAATTTGTGTGACGAGGGCATGGATGTCACTGCCAGGGAAGGAGCCAGCTCCCTCACTGCCAAAGAGTCACACTGAGAACTGTGGTCCCCAGAGGAGGAGGGGTGGGGAATGTTAGGTAGGATGGGATTACCTCACAGGATCCATGGTTTCCAGGCTTGAAACCCCAAGGAAGTGCTGCACTCTCAGCTTAACGTCGTCACCAAAGCCGCCTGAAACCATCCACAGGCAGAAGTGGTCAGAGAGGCCTCCTGAGCTTTGGGTGCTATGGGCAAAAGGCACAGCATCTCAGGGGGAGCCCCAGCCAGGCTAGCTGGCTGCTTTTCACTGAGCACGTGAAAGACATTTGTTAAACATCAGGGAGTGGACTTGTAGGTAGCTGCACTGTATGGATGAGCCCTTGGCCTCACTACAAGTCTGTATGCAAGTGTCCAGGCTCAGTCATGAGTGGAGTACTCTGCAGCACCTGAAACAAACTGCTGGGGTGTCAAACCAGCACAGGCACACCTCCAAGTCAGCATAAAAGGCTGTCACAGGAAGCCACTGACAGACGGTTCTTAGTTCTGTGTTGGGAGGCCTAGGTCCCAGTACAATCACTTCTCAAAAACAGGAAGAGCTAAAGCCAACACCATTAACACCAATGTCTCTTCAGTACTGGTGAGGGCTGTCTGCTTATTTCCTTGTCTTTCTGCACATTCTAGACAGTTTACAATCAATAACTGTCAGTAAAAAGCTAAAACAAGACCACCTCTACATCTTTCCTCTACCCCACGGCTGTTAAAATGTTTTTCTGGGCGGCGGGGGGGTGGGGGTGGGGGTGGGTTCTTTCTATGTAGGTGTCCTTTGAACATTGTAAATTCCTACACAGTCATAGTTTAAATGGGCATGGTTTATTTCACCAAGGTCCCACTGCCTGCACTTGCTCTGAGCAGTGCCCATGTCCCTTAGGTCATCTGGGTGTAGGAGCACTGGGATCACCCAGTTCTGCAGAGTCTGCCTCACAACCCTTGGGACATTTAGGCAGCAAAGACAACCTTCTGCATCTGTGGCATGAATTTCTTATGTAGGTTCTCTGAATCTGTGGGGCATGTCCATTCTAACTTCCCAATCTACCTGAGGCTCAGGCTAAGGATCTGGGTCTGAACAATCCTGGATCATTGGCAGACAAGCAATTGGACAGACTAGAAACATGAGTCTTCTTCCCCTGTAAAGGACTACAGTCCAGTCAGAGCAGGGCAATGATCAAGGGAAACCAGTACTTGGCTTTCTTTCTTCCCATCTAGTTAAGGAGTGGTAGGAGGCCTTAAACCATTGGCTGAGACATACCGTGTACAAGTGACTGTAGACAGGCAGCCAGGGATGGGATTCCCACAGGGAGCAGCTCACACAACACAGAGAAATGGTCGTACCTATGTCCAGAAGAAGAGTATTCAGTTCCACAGCCCTCATTCATCTCAGCATGATGACCACACCCTGATCTGGGGTACTCTTTCTTCTCTTTTGAGGGGTTCCTAGGCTGAGGACCACTATGGGCAGCCTGATGTATCCATTAGCTGGCTCAGGGTTCTTAACACTGGGTTCCATGTCACGTGGTTTTGCATTAGGTTTATTTGTTTATTTATTTATCGAGACATGGTTTCTCTGTGTAGCTTTGGAGCCTATCCTGGCACTCGCTCTGGAGACCAGGCTGGCCTCGAACTCACAGAGATCCGCCTGCCTCTGCCTCCAAGTGCTGGGATTAAAAGCGTGCACCACCAACGCCTGACTGCATTAGGTTTATTATGATGCCCCAGGGAGGAGCCTGTGTAGGGAAATGGGCTCTGAGCACCTGGGTCCACTCTAGTGTACCCTTGAGACGGAGCATCTGCAGAGCCTTGTTTATCCCTTTGCTAGTACTGGTCTGCCTCCCTCCTGGAGGCCTTTGCTGTGTCTGCCTCCCTCCTGGAGGCCTTTGCTGTGTTTGCTGTGTCTGCATCCTACCTATCCACTTCATGCTTTTCCCCAGGGCCCCAGGAGATCAACAGGTTAGAGTGGGCATCTGATCCCTCTAATGCTGGGCAGAGTGCATCCTCATGGCCTGGTCTCAGTATCTTGAGCTGTAAGAAGCTAGAGAGATGTTCCTCGAGTGTGGCAGATAAACGCTGACAGAAGAGCCAGGAGCCAGTGATTACATCACCCCATCAGTTTTCCTGTTCCTCTGTGAGTCATTAGCCACTGTGCAAGGCATAGAAAGGGCTTCACTCTGTGAGTCTTAGCTTAACCCACACCTCAACACACTACTGGAATGGTAAGTCTTCAACCATCCAGAATCATCTCTGAAGCCAACCAGTGGATATGTACTGAGCCATGAGCAACTGCTATAACCACATCAGACCTCACTTGGCTGATAACCCTGCTCTGTAGTCACGTTTTGGAACCCCGTGAAGGCCCCAGAGGGACACCTTTCCAGCTCTTCCTAGTGGAGCTGCCAGCTTCAACTGGTCCAGCTCAAAGGTTGGAACCTGACGCTAGGTCATGGCCAGAGCCAAAGACTGGGCTCATTCTATTTTTCAAAGGGTGTGACATCCTAAAAGAACCAGGACTAATCTTCATGCCCTGCTACACATAAGATATATGGTTTCACTCATGGAACATGTAGACCAGAGACTGGACAGCTGCATGCTTGTGGCGGTTCTGAGCACTCCAGTGTGTCTTCAGGAGAGTTACTGAGGTAGCCATGAAGGCATGAAGAGCGTGATTTGGGAAGGGGCCAGGCCAACACTAGACAGGGTGCCATCATGGATGATGGGAACTGTCCCCACTCCCCACACCCAGCCTCTGAGCGCTCACCTCTGCCAGCCGGTCAAGATGATTCCTTGCAGACTATCCACTGGCCCACGGCCTGCCACTTGTAGCCACTGCTCATGGTTTCTAATGTGATGCTCAACAGGGGGTAGCGCCTGACTAGCCCCTGTGGCCCCCTTGAAGGCACTGGCAGCCCACAGCCTCTGGAAGCCACACTCCTGGTACTTTCCCATGAGGAAGACTAGGCAAGAGAACAAGCAGATGAGCAGATCTCACAGAGGCCTAACCAGAGCAGCCAAGAGCCACAACCATCCTAGCAGAGAGAGACGCCAACCATTCCCATAAGGCCATAGGGAATAAACACTTCGGGAAGAGCTGGAAAGAACCTGGGATGACCTGGAGCCAGTAGGGGATCCCATGCCAGGACAGGACGCTTTGCATGGCCTTTCTGTTCCATGCTGGTCAGCCAGGCTAATGAGGTGCCTGTATTCCCAAGCTGAATAGTTGAGGTTACAGAGTCACGGAGGACTGGGAAGCAAACATGCAAGCACATGCACCATGAGGAATGTGGCGTGAGCAACCCGTACTGACTTTTGCTGTGGACATCCAGGTCAGCTCCATAGTCCCAGAGCACAGGCTCCACCAGTTGAGGCACCCCAGATGCTGTCAACAGAGCAAGGCCATGAGTGTGGGAAGGGACCACTCAGGTCACACCCTGCTCCTTAGACATATTTGTTTTAAACCGGGGTCTCACTTTGCTGTTCGTGTTGGCCTTGAACTCCAATCCTCCTGCCTCAGCCTCCTAAGTACTGAGATTATAGTCATGTGCCACTGTGCTCAACTCTGGCACATTCTTTTAATGTTAAAGTAGGAACATAAACCATATTCTCAGGTCTAGTGGGTTTCAAGTACAGCTTACAGCTGTGGTAGGCTTTTTGTGAG